CTGCCCGGTACTCTCCTCTCTCTTGCCTCTCCCCTTGCTTTTCTCATCCTTCATCAGGTCTGATCACGCTCATCCCTTCTTGAACATTAACGATGAGTCCTCTGTCATCCTCTTGCTGCATCTTCCTCACAATTTCTCTAGGAATGTTAAAGGCCTTGGTCAACAATTCCTTGTCGAAGCCACGGAAGATGTTTGCGAATGTCTGCCTGCCCTGCTCTTGGTGCAGTTGCTGCTGTCCTCTCCTTGGTGGTACACCAGCAAGGTAAAATGCCCAAGACAACAAACCACTAGTTAGGAGTTAGGACATTACTCCAGTGATGACATCTTAGTTGCTTGTAAGGATCAAAATTTTCGTTTTGGGTGAATAATTCTGGTTAGTTAAGAAACAAAAATTATTTTCAATTCTGAAACAATCGTGATATGCTAAAATGTTCTTCGATTTTCTATAATTCACTTTGGGTTTTTGTAGATGGTTTCAAGGAAAACTAATTGAAATTTGAATTTTTACGTTGGATGCATACAGGAAACACATTCTTTTAAGTGGTTAATAAGCCAAAAATAACTTGTCTATGTATACTATAACTGTATAATGGTGCATGCATGCTATTGTGTTAAATTTTGAGATGTTGTAGAGATCAGGGGGATAAATTACCCTATGTTTCTGGTCAAGTTGGTTGGCAGGGTTGTTGAGGTCGTTGACAGCAATGACAACAAGGTCTTCATTTCCATCATTGTAGCACCAGTGGGTTGCACCGGCTGGAATGGCCAAGATGTGTCCTCGGTGAATACGATGCACCCTCTGGTGCTAATCAAGAGCCAGAAACTTAGGTAGTGGGGTTAAAGAGTTTAGCAACAACAATACTATATGTACTAAATTTGAAAAGTTAATGCATTACTACCGTTAGATTAACAAATAAAATGCATTTAATGTTGATACCCTGTGCTAATTCTAACAATGACAATATATTAGATTATCAAATTAGATCTTTCAATTTTATGTTAGTATATGATCAAAAAAAAAAATTATATGTTAGTAACATTTTTTTAAGGAAACTAAAATTTAAAATTTTGAACTAATAATAAATTAAAAGAGGTGGCCTTATGTGTGGCTTCTGCTATTGCAAGGTCTGGAGTAATATGTATGTCTTATACTCTTATCTTGCATGTGAGAGTATTTTTTTTTTTTTTTGAGGCTTGAATCTTTGAAATTTAAGTCAAAATGGAGTAACATATACCTTACCTTTACCATTTAATTGGCTAATTTTTATATTATAGAAATATTGCATAATAATATAATCATTTAATTTATCAAAATTTACAAAAGTGAGAGTAAGGGGGCTTGATATAGGGAGAGACCGAAAAGCTCCAAAATTTCTTGAACACTTGTTGAGAGATTCAACTAAATGACCAATGATCAAGTTTACTTAATCGATTAAAAAAATTTAATCTTAATGTTAGAAATTGTTAAGTAAATTAATATGTATGAAAATTTTTGTGGGGGCAAATTTAGAATATATTAAAATTTATATAAAAAAATGTTTGTACAAAAAAATTGAGTGGGGGCAAGGTAAGTGTAGCTCCGCCCCTGGTGCTGATCTATTCTGCTTCTCCCTTCTCGTTCCTGCTCTTCTTCTCGGCCCTCCCAGTCATTCTGAGATTCCTGCGAATGGTATGTCTCTGCACATCCTGGGCTGGTTATCCCTACATAGCCCTCACCTGAATTTTGTTTTCATATATCGGAGTGTGTTTTTAGAATTATCACGGCATTCGTGTTGAAGTATACAAGTATTTATGTTAGATATGGAGGTGTTCAAATTTCGCTGTCATCCTCACAATTACAAGACTTGCATGTGTTTGGATCCAAATTTTACTCACGTGCAAGGCATGTTAAATTATATAAATCTTTATGTTACAAACTCTCTAACGTCTTGAACTTAAGGCAGTTGGTGTTTAACGGTAAGAAATGAATTTGTCTCTCTCTAATTACCTTGCTCAATGTACACCAGGAGAGGGAAAGGGTGGAAGTTAGGCAAATGAGAGCACAGTGAAATTCAATGGCACAACTCGGTGCACTGGAACTGGTCCTCATTCTCGTCCAACAACCCGGTGACACCACCCTCTGATCCAATGCTCTGAGAGGGCTGGCCTGCCAATAGTCATTGAAGATGGCATTGCCATGCCTCCCTAAGTTGGGTTGATTGTTGCCCAATTCCCACTGATACAAGAAGAGAGAGGGAGAGAACCAAAAGCAGCTGAGTGGCCATGGTTTAGCCTTCTTGTAGGTGATGAAATGGCTTGAGCCCTAGAGCCAAATATATAGTGAAGAAAGTTTTGGAAAGTAGTGGAATGGAGTTTGTTTTCTTTTGCATGAAGGGGAGTGTCGTGATGTCCATTGATATGTGCCACCTTGCAGTGGTGGTTGTTGGTTAAAGCATCTTTTACGTGGTGCTAACACCTCTGCAATGTGCCCACCACTTGACCAGCGTCTCTCTGAGCTTAATGTACACACAGGAAATCATGAAAAGTTGTTTCTAGCTGTGGCTGGGTTTAGCCATTTACTACTCACTAAGGCTTGGAAATGGACCTCTCTTTGTGGGTAGGTCTGGTGCCAACAAACTTGGGCTTGAACTTGCAGATTTGTAATGTGAAAGAGTGTCTCAAACCAACCTTTGTTCAATAATATTTGGTGTTTATAGATGATCCTGAGCTATCAATCTTGAGCAGCTCATTGGGTAGCAAAGGTCAGTCTTACACAGTTGCTACCGGAGGACTGGGTCTCAACTCTCAACTCAAATCCACCAAGAGAGTTTTAAGGCTATCTTACCATCTGATTGTAACCTCATTTCTGATTAGTTATATGGAATATATGCAACCTTTCAAATAACTTTGGTTGGACCTTGGAACCTTACACATGTAACTTATTCTTTTGCTTGGGAAGTTTTATGGCAATGGTGTTGAGGGGGCTGGTTGAAGACAGGAACTAATTGAAGTCTACGGTTTGTCGTTCTAGTCAGATTGTCACTGATTATGGTAGGGTCGAACCAAGTGTATTATGTTGATAATGTGGCGGGTTTGCTGACCCAATAGACGTATAGTGGAAAATGGGTGGAGTATTGTTTTTTTAGTCTTGGAATGAATTTTGACTGGTGGGCATGGGCTCTACTTAATTTTTAAGCTACTGCAGAATCTTACAAGTTGGGAATTTGAAAAGCCAAAGCATCTCGCCTCACACGTATTACACCAAGTTGGCGTGAGAGGGGTATCCATGAACTTCCATATCCATTTGTTATAGTGTATCTTGCAAACTAATACGAGACCCATTCTCAAGGCTTTTGTGCTTGGACTGTTTCTTTTTCCCAAAGACCACTCCATTTAAAGGCCCTGGATTCATATTCACCGTGAGGGACAGGTTATGGAGCCGATCAAATCTATTTTCTAAGATCAACCAACAGAAGGACCGTTTTCAGTAATTTTTTCTAGTCTTGGTGTAACAAGCCACCTAGGTCCGAACCCAAACCAGGTTTGCGCATACAAATATGAGAACGAGAAAGCAGGTCATCAGGGGTCCCCATAGTTATCCTCACATATTAAACTAGGAATGGAGAGTCATATCAAACATGGTTTCTGCGTCAAATATTCAGCGTAACAACTAGGTAGCTTAACTACACTTAACTGAATATAATAAGAAATTTTACACAATGAATCCAACTCGCCATTCTATAAAGAAACATTCTCATGCTCTCTTCTTCCACGGCAGTACTACTGAGCAAACTACGATCTCTTCTCTCTCTCTCTCTCATGTCTTGGTTGAACTTGAGGCGGCTTTCGCTGGCTAGAAAGGTATGGAAGGTCTTCACCACCAAGCTCCAAAGGAACCTGAACAAGCTTAACAGATCCAAACTCACCAAGAAACCAAAGAACCCGATCAACAATACAAGCAAAACAGTTTTCTGGCCTTTCACATCCCATAAATCCCAACTTAGACGTCAAATAGGGACCTTCCAACCAGCCCATACACTTGGCTACCACCATCACGGTTATCTCCTCCAAAAGAGATCTAAGCCTGTATACATCGATCAGCTTTTTGTAGAACCTGTACCAGCGGTGAACGAGACCACAGCAAGCAAAGCAGCTATAGACAATTGTTCGACAAGTGCAAATAAAATCAAGCTCATTAATCAGCAAACTGCAGAGGAAGATGATAATATTGAAAAGAACCGTTCAGCAGATGAATTATGGGAATCATTGATGTTGGCATCACCACAAATGCACGGAATCAACGAGAGAGCTGAGGAGTTTATTGCTAGATTCCGGGCAGAGATGCAGCTTCAGGAGATGTTGAACCGTCACTTGTAGTTCAAGGCAGTTGCTTCTTTCTTATGATATTGTCATATATTTCTTTTTCCTGTTTGATGTAAGTTTAAGCTTTGATGCTAGAATATAAGAGAGGAATGTTTGATAATGTACAGTAAAATCTTTGTACAGTGTATATATTTTCTTATTGCCCAAGGGGGAGGAAGCTGACAGTCAACTCAGTGCAGCAAGTCCTTAATTGGATCATCATGGTGCATTTTCTTCATCCTGTAAGCCTCCATCTCCTCAGGAGTAACCTGCAAAAGACACGCAGATGGTTATAAACGGCACAAGAACAAGTACACCATAGTCTGCCAGTCAAATCTTGGCATAAAATATTGATGATGAGGGAAAAGCAGACAAACCTCATCATTGTACTTGACATTGTATTTGCGCTTCCTCTCATCTCTCTCTTCTCTCCTCCGTTCATCCTCCTGTTCAGACCAAACAAACAGAATCCATACTATGCCATATTACAAGATGTTAAAAACAGATACGCTATGACAACATATCTGAAAGAGTACATGCCTCGAAAGTAAGCCTAAGTCAACCCCGTATCTATTGATCGTATATCTGATCTTCTAATTGAAAAAAATAATGAACTCACTATAAGGTCTATATTTTTTTCCTAAAGATCCTTTTTCAAGCATCAATATAGCCAATTAACAGAGACGCAGCTTCAATCTGAGCAAGTTTTGAAGTGAAAGATCATTACTAACTCAAACCAACACCTCCCCAAACTTGCTACTAAAGAAAAATGTGCATCGAGAGAGCAGGAAGAGGGGAAGAAGAGAAAAGGAAGGGGGGGGGGGGTAGGAATGGAACGGTACAAGAAGAAAAAGAATGACAAACTACAACTCATATATACCTTTTTCAATGCTTCAGCCAATTTTCTCTGGTCTAGAACCAAATCGTTGGGTACATCAGTTCCCCAGGTAGCAAGCTTCTTCTCCTCAGTTGGCGAAGACATATCTGCTTTTGTAATAACGTTGTCAGACCCAAAAATAATGCAGATATATTATCACTTTATGTTAAGAGGCAGATAGAAACATCACTGTATAATCAATAACATAATGAAGTTCAATCAACAAGATTGTCAATTAATAAACATACTGACAAACCAATCAATGAGAAATTAACAGGAATATAACAATATCAGCCTCACACAGCCATTAAGTACCAAACAACCACTTGGACTTCAACTGGATATCAGCAAGTGCTGAATAAAGATATTAGCGGAAAGAATTAGCCGTGCCATGTTAAGAGCATAATATTGGCAAAACCCATCAAAGAAAAAAAACACCATCTAGTTCAAAATATAGACTCACAGATGAAAGTCATGTACAAAGAGCGTAAATCAACAAGTTAATTTTGTTTATGTCAGACTGTAAACAGAATGTGCACAAAATTCATTACAAAAAAAGTTATTTTTTTATTGATTTTCGACATTTAACCGACATTCTGTCTGTTTAACTAATGTTGTGCGGCTTTGGCCCTACATTGGCTGGGTGGGTCCAGTAAGCTAAATCCCTGTCGATTTTTAATTCATCACTCTGAATGTTACAAGTTTCTGTTCACTTTTTGGGAATATTTTTCACCATTCTGATATTCTAGTGTTGCGTATCCATGTTTTGGGACCACAAGTAAATCAATCTTCAATATAAAAAGTTTCCACTGATTAAGTTTGAGTCTAAAAAAGTCATATTTGATACAGAGAACACAAACCTTCAGTAGCCTCTTTACGAGCAATATTAGCCTTCATAAGATCAGCTGCAGCTTCAATTCCAGCACTACCGGTACAATAGCTGTTTCGGATTGTTTGTTTGCAGCACTTATAACCCCATTGATGATCCTTCCAACATGAACCCCAGACACTTGTGTGGTTGTTAGTGTACACGTCTTCTTCGTACTTGCTCCTAGGAAGGGATGTCTCCTGCATAAAGCATAACATTCAGAATGTTGGCTATCTAGATAAACAACAAGAATAACTGCAGAAAATTTAATAACATATCATTCTCTCATATTTGATTTGAAGGCATATCCCAGAAATCATCAAAAGATCCCATAAGACTTTTCTATCTGTATGTGTGTGTGTGTGTGTTTGAGAGAGAGAGAGAGAGAGAGAGTCCTAAGCTAAAGCAAGTACCAATGTCATGGTTTGGAAAATTGTTTAGAAAACAATGGTTCCATATCTTAAGCATTCAGGTGAAAGGTATCTGTTGTTTCGTCTTATGAGGGTAAGCCCCAACTAAGTAAAATTGGGAGTGTTATGCAGATGCACAAAATTTTAATTCTCATGACTATGCATTCAGGTAACATGTATCTGCTAATTTTTCAAAAAGACTTGAAGATAACATGTTCCATCAAATTTTTGGTTGTTTTCTTCCAGAGAAGTGAATCATTTGGAAAAGTAAAATATTTACCTGGCCCTTTACAATCCGACCAGCACGGTCATATTCAACCTCTCTTTCACTTTGTCCCAGTAAAAGCTCTTTTGGAAGAGCTTCTTCAGTAGCTGCACTGCCATACTTCTCCATAATAGTATCCTTTGTCTGGGACTTCAATTTCTCCTTATTGATCTTGTAATTTGTATAAAGCAATTCAGCTTGTGACGGAGCTGCTTGCATGTGAACATCATGTCCCTTCTCAAATGCTTCCCAAGCATGGATGTTAAGCTGCTTGAACTCTAAAGCTTGACCACTTACTCTGTTATCATTATCTCCCTGTAATAGCGAAGGAAATAAATCAGCATCCCAAATCTAATTTAAATAACTATGCAATTGAACCACACAATGTAATGGAAAGTTTGTGGATACTCACTGTATAGAACTTCTCATTTGGATCCATATCAGGAAGAGGATCCTCACGCATGGACCGTGTTTTGAGATCATAGTGCGCGGAGTTGACATCAAGATTAAGAAGGTATTTTGCTGTATCCTCTCGAATACGCAAGTTCCTGACAAAAAAGGAAAAAGGAAGATATAACAACTGATTTTTCAAACATAAAAAACACAATTGAGAGTGTAACTTTGCTAGACCAACAAGCACTTCCATGGAAGACTGCTTGATCATCAATATTATTTCAAAAGTACCACACTATCCCCTCCCTCCCCTACCCTGTAGCCCAAAGTATATTTTTGAACAAATTAAACATGTAGAGATGACAAGACAACAAAAACTCACCTAAACAGTCCCAGTACTTCCACCACCAGTTGTGCGAACACGCTTCTCAACCTTCGCAAAGTCCATCTGTTTGCTCTCATCAACCTTGGCTTCATCTACTTTAAGATCATCCTCATTGTCTTCATCGTCACCGACCCCATCTTCTCCATTTTGGTTACTGTTTTTCTCCTCTAACTTCTTAAGCTGTTGTTCTTTCAAGTATTTCTTTCTAGCTTCATCCCTTGCTTCATACCTTTCAATCACATGGACCTAGGTTGCTGCATCATAGCCATTCCAACGGTCACGTTTTCCATCATAATCCAGCTCAAAGCTCTCTACCTTCTCATCTGGTGCAATGCTCTTGTTTGTCCACTTTACACCCATTTTGCGGGGTCTTTCCGTGCATGACTTTGCATTGTGTGACATTGCTCCACAGCTATAGCAAAGCACATAAGAAGCACAATCACAAGTAGTCATAAAAGTTTTTTCCATATGCTGAGTGCATTTCAACAATGTCAAACTCATATATTCAATTTCCAAGGAAAATTATAATGAAGTCAAAACGCATATAGTAAAACACATTTCCATATATCGGCTTGGCTTGATTTTGTTTGGCTGCACCAAAGCAGTAGCAAGAGGTCCAATTTTGATCTTCCTAAAAGGACAACACGAGACAAAGACACAGACCCACATGAGGGCTTGCAGAGAGACATATGTGGGGGGAGGAGAGCAGGCTGGGAAGAGAGAGAGAGATAGAGAGAGAGAGATAATGTGGCAAATTGCCTAACTAACACAAGGGCCTTACAATTATGAAAAGCCAGAAGTATATGCCTTTTTCCCCTAATCGAAATTGAGTTTTTCCACTACTAAGAGACATCACATATGGAATAACCTACGTTGTAGGATGTAGCAGGTCTCATGATTTGTTTATACAGTTTCAAATGCATTCAATTTAGCATGTACTGCTAGATACTAAAACATGCCCCTAGCCACAATAAATACACTTCTGTTTTCTTTTTCAGTTGTTGATTCAACATTGTAAAATCATCTCGTCATACTGCATTATAACAAAAACAACCACATAACATTACAAAGGTGTTTTGAAGAACAGCCATACAAGTGAGGAGACCATGAAAAAGAGCAAGGAAATTTTCATTTACTTTTCACATGCACCCGGCCTGTACTTGTCAGCATGAAATATTTTTGCACCTCTGTCATACCATGACTTTGTAAAATTGGGTTCTAGTTTCCATTTCCTTTGATGTTTTAAACTCTGAAAAGCAAAACCAAATCAGAAATTTTCAGGCTCCGGCAATTGTAACAAGTGAAAGTATACCACACAACTTGAAGAACAGAAACGTACCGGTCTCTCTGCATTGAGATACCAAGGTGCAGATGACATATACTGAGGAATATGAGGGTTGATTTCTTTTCCATCCTCATCAACTTCAGCTGGTGCAAGCCCAGCCTTACGCGCTTCTTCCAATTCCATCTGCTTTCGATGGTCCTCCCTAGATTTAAATGCCACTACATTCCCCAATATGAAAAATAGGTTAATGCTTTGAGGGGAAAAAGGAAGACAACATACCAAATCGAGAAATGCAGAAATTACCAAAAATAATGTAGCAGTTAACAACATTTTGATAGGATCAAGTAGTGAACAACATTTTGATAAGAAGTGAGCCATAAGAGAAGGAAAAATCTGAAATTCATTCTTTCACAAGCATGGCAGACTGGACTCAATCCAGATAGCTTCAATCCCAGAAACTCATATACAACAATATTCGACAGAATTGGGTGGTAAGGCTCCTACGAAAGAGGAAAAAATAAAGTGTACTGAT